GTATTCACTGTGGTAGGATGTCCTTATTGTTGTGTTTTGTGTATTGTGTTTTGTTTGAACGTGTTGTCACTTAGTGTAATGTGTGTTACTTCTTTGTTGTGTCCTATTGTGTACTACTTCCACCGGGCTAAAACCCAATTGCAGTATAATAAATAATGTAATGTAATGTAATTATATATAAATTATTACTCTGTGTGGACGTTCATAGAGTTTATTGTGTTGCGTGGGCGTTAAGTGGATGCAAGAAGAGGATGAATAGAAAAATCGTCCAAGATGAAATTCAATTACATTTGATGCAGAATTTTTTTTTTTTTTTAAGATCTGCATAAAGCATTGGCTCTTCCAATCCGTCTAGAAGGATCTAGAACTTTGGTGCAAAGAGAAGACTACAAAAGGATACAACAAACAAGCAGAATCTGTAGTTACGTATCGATCAGTGATATAGCGGAGGGTATACGTTGCCACGTGCCGCGTACCTAAGAATTAGGGCGTATCTTCTGCCTGCCTTGTAACAAATTTTAAAGGTTGACAAAAAACAGTCAAGTACACATATTCTCGTGTTATTTTGTTAATTTACAACAAATGAACTAAATAAGAAATTGTTGCACTTTTGATCGCCTCTGTGGTCTAGTGGTCGGAGTTCCTGCTTACAGATCCAGAGGTCCCGGGTTCGATTCCCGGCGCTACCAGATTTTCTGAGATGTAGTAGGTCTGGAAAAGGGTCCACTCAACCTCGTGTGAATAATTGAGGAGCTATTTCAAAGACATATCGGCTCCTGTCTAGAAAATCGAAATTAACGGCCGTTGCATTGACCACGCGACACCCTCTATCCGCTAAAGTTGGCACTAATTTCGCCGACAAGCGGCGGTGGCTCGGTCAGTATAGTTCGCTTGCGGACTATGGGCCACGAGTTCGTTTGTTTTGTTTGCATTGAAGTCAATAGTGCATTCATATTTTGAAACCAACGCGCTTGAAAGATTCAATATGAAGAGCATCGGTTGTTCAAGGAAATTCAGGATCATCTGACAAGTCTGCCCATGGCATCGTAACGTCACTGTCGTGTAACTTGCTGTTCAAAAACTGGACAAGTTTTACCTATGTATATGTTGTAGCTTTTGAAGACTTTACGATTAGAACTGGCTGTGTAATGGCATATATTTTCTTAGTATTCAGGTGGTTCCTCATTCGATCCTGGCTGCCAGTGATATCAGAAACAGAAATTAATAAATATCAGTATCACCACAACTACGTGTATTGCATTTTGTGAGGTTTGAGGAATATGAATATTGTTGTATTGTGTAAAGTGACGCAGTGTAATTTGATGGATAACTGCAAACGTCTGCTGAACGTCCTTCGTCAATCTTCAGGGTAGAAAAGTGCGTTCTTCTTCCGAAACGTCAGTATCTATTTGCCATCGAATTCATGACGAGAGTAATCGTTTTTAAGTCTTTTTCATATCGATGTGGTAGGCCTATAATCCATACTTAGGCTTACATGTAGATCAAACTGATATTTATGAAGTGTCTTAAAGACAGATCATTGTACAAAAATTGTCAGGCTTATGTCTACATGATACAGAGCACAAATTTCATTAAGACAGAAGACTTTTATTAAAACAGTTTTCGTTATGCGAAAATTTTAAAGAAATGTGAGAAGAAATATTCTCTATCTCTGCGCAGTCTGATATATACGTACAGTGAGACTGTGAGCTAGCATTTATAGTAAATGAGCATTAAGAGCAATGAAACAAGGAAAACCGCAAAAGCCGCTCTCTAGTTAAATCTGAGTTTCATTTGTTTAATGTGTTGACAGCTGTTAATTCTCTTTGCAATTCAGTTTAAATAAGGGTCTAAAACCAGCCGAATCCAAAGTACAAATTCCTATCTGAGACCCGTTTCCATACAAATCACTCAGGCAAAATATATATAAAATGAATCTTTTTTTTTAATTCGTTTAGTGGGGGGTGGAGTCCAGCTGGGTCCATTCGACACGGCGGCCACTGATTGGCCTATTATACCTGCCCCGGGTGATTATGATGATGGAGAATTTGGTGGAATGAAGATTGGCAGGGGAAACCGAAGTACTCGGAGAAAACCCGCCCCAGCGCCACTTTGTCCACCACAAATCCCACTTGACCATAAAATGCATCTTTATATATCGTGAATTCGGATCGTAGTTCCACGAACATGCAGACGCGCGTGAATATGATGTAAAGTTTCAATTTTACTTTAATATTTCAGTCTATTGAATTGCATAATAGTAAGAACCAACATTACGAATTTATTACGAAAGCGATCATCTAAAAATACCAGGTCGAAATAACTATCAGCTTGCAGTTTAAGAAGCATAAATGTGTATTTCTATCATTCTTGGTCTGTGGCACTGCATCTGCAAATAGCCCTAAACATATATATATATATAGTATATGTTCAGTATTTAAGGCAGCTTGTATAAGCAGTTGAACACAGCTAATGCCAGTAGCTGAGTCATGACGAGAGGGTCGCTGTCTTTAAGGTGAAAACAACTAAACCTGTCCCAGATGTTAAAAATGTTCTGTAATTCGTTTATTAACCACAAAAGTCCAATCCCGCTACGCTCCTATCAGCAGTAAATTTTCTACTGAGGATTGCGGACCTTTTCCAGCCAAATAGAATTAAGTTGGGCGATGGCCCGCTCTGCCCTTTCAATCTTACTTATTGACTTTCTTTTATTTACCTTTCGGTCAACTTTCATTAGTAAGTCAACTTTTCTAGTAGCTGCCAAATCCGAAACGTCACAAGATGGGATCGAACGGCGCGCCCCAGGCGGTTTGACGTGTATCCCTCAAAGCCAAACTGACCTTTACGTGGCCATATTACTATAACAGTCGAGACACTGACGACCGAGTCATGAGAGCACAATTATTTTGTCTGATGTAGAGCTTCAACATTTTCTCTCATATGTTTTGCACTTGGATGCTAAACTGACATGGAAACAACATTTCGCAAAAAAGAAAAAAACAAATAAACATCAAGACAATGGAGCTACAGTGGTTACTGGGAAGAAATTCACGACTATCTACAGACAACAAACTTCTAATATATAAAACAATTATCAAACCAATCTGTACATATGGTCTAGAATTATGGGGCTGATCAACTAAATCAAATGTTGCAATCATACAAAGATCTCAATCCAAGATACTCCGTCAAATTGTTAATGCTCCCTGGTACGTAACAAATCATACACTACACACAGATCTACAGGTACCAACCGTACAGGAAGCAATACGCAAGAAAGCCATCACACATCACAATTCCATAGAAAACCACCCCAATCAGCTCATGGAACAACTCCTGGAACCAGTAAGCAACAAAAGACTCAAAAAACTGTGGCCAAGTGAACTACCCTTAAGTTAATGTACAGATACTAATTATAGATTATACAGGTGATTTCGCTGGATATCAACCTGTTCACGCCACTAGTCATTAGTATATCTAATGAGTAATCAGCACTTTAGCTTATAGAATTGTGTAATATTCTGATTGCTAAAATCTAAAAAAATAAAAAAAAAGTTTTGCATCCTGTTATGTGAATCTCTACAGATGATATATTTTTCCTGCGAACGCAAAGCTATTTCCGGCAGACAGATTTACTTCTTGGATGACATGTTTCTACGCAGCCCTGTTTTAATTACAATATGGTGCACTTAGCGTAAATTTACATGCAAACCCAGTGGATCCACCACCGTATTATACACCATATATATTGTACTGTAAAAAACAGATGGAACCGCTAGACTTAGAGGTACAGGTAAGCTAAGTCCTTTATACATTAATTGTAACTAAAACAGGACCTGAGGATAGCACATATGTATGTGCCGAAACAAGTCTTCTTAAACAGCAAATGTATCTAGTGAAAATAGTGTTATGTTGGCAGAATATAACAAATATTACCATCATTCATAATGTATACTCTTAGCCTTATATCATTAAGGCAATTGAGCAAGACGTTTCGAACAGTCAGCTGAACTAGGGAAACGAGAAATGCGTATTAAATTCTGGATGGGGAAACTTATGGAAAGAGATCGCTTTCGAGCCTTAGACACAGATGGAAGGAGAATATTAAAACGAATCTGAAAATGATAAGACTGGGAAAATGAAGTGGACTGTTTCAGGTTGAGTTCAATTGTATCTTTTGTGATTATCTAGACTGTAGAACCTTTGAATTCTCTGACAGGGAGTTTCTCCGTCAGATGCTCTGGGACTACTTTATAACTGGAAATAGGTTGACTGAGGAAAGTGCTCTAACAAAATTTGTTGTTTAACTTATAAAGGCAATCAATTTAACTGCTTCCTGTATCAATGATTCACATATTGCCAGTGCAATTGACACATTAGTGTAAATACAGTACCAAATCGATATAGAAATTAGGAAGACAACTTCAGGGAATTCTTGCTACCACCCCCGTTTAGTATTCGACTTCCCGTCCCCCATACAAAACAAAAGATTAAAACAGTTAATTATAATTTTACTTGGTATTTTGTATGGTTATGAAACTCGATCTCTCGTCCCACGGGGGCCGCATAGATCGAATTTTGAGGACCTGGTTCTGAAAAGAATATTTGGACCTAAGAGGGAGACAACTACATAATAATAAACTTCAAATCCTGTACCCTTCATCAAATACCAAAAAGGGAGATAAGATTGGCGGGGTATGTAGCAAGCAGGGATGGGATTATAAATAAACACAAGAGTCTGATTGGGAAACCTGAGAGGAAGAGATTAATTGAAAGACCTTCATGAAGGTAAGAGGATAGTATTAAAACGAATCTTAAATAAAAGTGTATGATGATGTGAAGTGTGTTCATCTGGCTCAAGATACAGTTTACGGGCGGGCTCTTTCTTGACTTGCTGACCGGGTATTAGCTTCTATAGAATGAATTTGCTCCACAGAAATAGCTAATTGAAGTATTCATCAGATCAGTTTTATAATCAGGTGACTCTGGGGTGATTATAGCGATCCCGACATTCAGATGATCAAGCAGGCTGCAATGTTGATCACCGTGGCGCTGCTGTCGAGGGTGGTGTCACGGAACAGCAGTGTTCCACTGTGCCGTTTACAAGACGAACTTCTTCCAGAGATGCAATTCCAGAGGGTATCCTGCAGCCGATGTTATAAATACATGCATGAATCCAACTTCAAGCCTGGCCTGAAGGCAAAGGTAGCCGAAAACATGGGCCTCACTATTGGCAACATTACGGTAAGCATCACTAACTCACTTATGGAGCTGAGCCTTTCTTGAGAAGCCGCCAATTGTGCAGCTATTCAAAAACTCCCTAATACAGTAGAACTTGGTTATAACGTCATCAAAGGGACCTAAAAATAGTGTCGTTATAAACGAATGTCGTTGTAACCGAAATGGGCACTTCCACAGTAGCCTTATGTTAGTCACGTAAAAATCTACCAAAAACCGAATTAAAATGTTGCATTTTTTAGTGAAATACGTAGTTAAGTACAGACTAACGTAACATTAACGTGGAATTGCCCAAATGTGTAATATCAAAGACATATTACAGCGCTTTTCACTGATAATACACACAATATTTCACGAATCACTTTAACTTTCTCTTCAATGCTTAAAACTTTCCTTTTCATTGCCATGTTTTCGCTACTGCACTTCTCTGGGTTTAGGCAGGAACACTATAGGGTAAGTAGACAATGTGAGGTCCTGTTAGACGAGATTCTAGGAAAGGAATGCAGTTAACAACCTGACGCGTCCTCTTGCACTATTCACGCAGTCCCACCCCCACACCCTTGCTTTCGCATGAAACCCACGCTCCTCTTGCAGCCCGCGGTCGTATTCTTCCAGGACAGTCACGTCAGCAAGTAGAGAAAGTGAGGGTGGGCAGACACATCGAACTTTCCCACGATATCAGAGAAATTCAGGAATGAAAATGACGTTACATACGAGGTTGATGCATTTGTGCATGTCGTACTAAGCAAGGTATAAAAACAGTTGCTTTATGAGGAATTAGTTCGTACCATTGAATATTTGACGCAATAGAAAAGGTGTCGCAGAAACCGATGTTGCTATAACCAAGTTTTACTGTATTTTATGGAACCCGACAATTCATTACCGTATTCACAAGAGCCCTCTACCGGTACCTGTCCTGAGCCAGATCGATCCAGTCCATATCACCCTACCCTATCTCTCTAAGATCCTTTTAGTATTCTCCACCCATCTACGCCTTGGTCTTCCTAGTTGTCTCTTTTCTTCTGGCATTATCCAACTAATTAATTTGTGGCTTATTTATGTTTTAGTTATAATTCCCTGGTAGTGGAACCCGAAACGTTCAACAACGCTAATACCAAAGACACGACAAGGAGTCACCTCCATGTACCTCCCATCCTCAAACCCATGTCACTAACGTCCCCCCTAAGCAATCCATGTGAAAACTGCCATCATGTGAAAGCCAGCCGGTAGAGGCGGTTTTACGCGGTCCGCCTTTCGCTCCTGTGGAAACTGAACACGAACAACTGTAATTCAGATCAGAAAAATATTGTCTCACTTATGGGATAAGTTTTTTCGCCATGGTTCAGGCTGTTAGTCGCTAGCGTCCGACCACTTCGGTCCGGGTTTGATCCCAGCTCATATATTTGTGATGGACGAAATGCCATTAGAGCAGCTAGTCTCCGGCTTCTTCGGCTTCCCCTGACATTTCACATTCTACCAACTGTTCCATATTCATTGAACGTCCTCTCACGGACGCTGTATAGTGTCGTTAAGTAACAGACTGAAGAAAATCAAGCAGATATCCTGTCTAGGATACATCAGTGGCTTTAGGTTATTTCTTGCGGGTGAAGAAAAGTACCATCAGGTACAGATTTACCATAAAATATTATTTCAATCAGTCAATACTCCATTACAATCTTGCGCTAAAATAATTATACCTCTTTTTTATCAAGAGATCGACCGCTTCTGTGGTCTAGTGGTCAGAGTTCCTGGATACAGGTCCAGAGGTCCCGGGTTCGATTCACGGCGCTACCAGATTTTCTGAGAAGTAGTGGGTCCTGAACGGGGTTCACTCAGCCTCGTGAAGATAATTGAGGAAATATTTCAAGGAAATAGCGGCTCCGGTCTAGAAAACCGAAATTAACGGCCGTTGCAATGACCACGCGACACTCTCTATCCGCTAAAGTTGGCATTAACTTCGCCGACAAGCGACGGTCGCTCGGTCGGTATAGTTCGCTTGCGGACTACAGGCCACTCAGTTTTTGTTTATGTATCAACAGATCTCTGCGAGATAATTTTCAGTAAGCTGAAGTATGTGCTCAAGCGATATAGGGATGGGCTATGAGACTGATGGTCGGGTTGGATTTCCGGCAGGGGCAAGATATTTTTGTTTTCTCCACAATATCCATATCGGCTTGTGTCTCACCCAGCCTCATATTGGAAGTGTACCGGGGGCTCTTTCCCTTTGGGTAAAATGGCAGGGTCATCAAGCTGACCACTCGCATCCATTTCATGCCGAGGTCAGCTGTGGAGACATAAGCCCCATCCTCCCCACGTCTTCATGACGTGATGTTTAATTAATTAAGCCCAGGGAGAGTTTTACCTTTTTAAACTTCTATGTGAAACAAACACAGAGTGACACTCACGCACAAATCTGTGTGTTTGAATAATTCTCTTCGAACTGCTGTTTCCAAGCTACAACCAATACTTCGGAAATATAAAAAATACGATCATCGAATGTAAAATTAAATTAATTTTGTGAGCAAGAGGTCGACCTCTCTTCTTTAAAATATTACATATATCCCTGTTCATATCAGAACAGAATTTTGTTGTAAGATTTGAGGTTTTCATGGCGGTGACTATGAAGAAAACAGTCTTCTGGGATGTGGCACTGTGTAGATGTGGTGTTAATCGACGTTTCGGAGGAACGTATCGCCTCCATCTTCAGTGTAGAAGGAAAAATAAGAAAATCCGCAAGCGAAGAGACCTTTAGAGCCGGTACAAGCAGTCTGCTTGGACGGGATATATTCCTCCGAAACGTCGGTTAACACCACATCTACTTCTTCCACTAGACGCATGTCTTCATTATGTGGAAGTCCTAAGTTACAAACAAGAAGGCACCAAGTTATGAACGGATTGTATTAAAATGTTAAATTCTTCTGTTTGGAACTCGATTTCCTGTACACACAGTATTTATTCTCTAATTGTGGTAAGGTTATTATGCCAGTCCACAATACCCTACTTGACCCCAAATTATACTAAAATATAGCAAATGTGTAAAGATCAATTGCAGGAAGCAATACTGTTGTAATGGGTACCAACAATAAAATAAACAGATGAACAATCTAATTAAATAACATGTATATTATTTTAATGTCGTAGTGCTCCTTTCTTTAAATTCGCAAAGTGAGGGGTGGAGTCCAGCTGGGTCCACTCGGCACGTAGGCCACTGATAGGCCTATTGTACCTGCCCCGGGTGGTTATGATGATGTAGAATTTGGTGGAATGAAGATTGACAGGGTAAACCGAAGTACTCGGAAAAATCCCGCCCCAGCGCCACTTTATCCACCGCAAATCCCACTTGACCAGACCCGGGAAGCCAGCGACTAACCGCTTGAGCTATGGCGCGGCCTTAGTGCTCCTCATATATTCATTTTTATTCTTCCGGCGTGCGAATTGTTCGGAAATACAAGTGAGTTTAATGCCCAAAGTACACAACGGTTTCCTTTCGTGCGTAGGTATGTTCATTAGCTTGACACTTTCTACGGACCTGCTCATCTGCTTTGTTGTCATTCAAACGGATTGCACAGAATATAAGAAAAACATTTACTTTAGGTGGAGGCCAACATAATGCCCTCAAATCCGCTGATACACACGTTTGTTAGTGACCATGCGGCAGAGAAATGGAGGAAATGTTGCATCAAGGCTGCTGAATGCTGCAGAGAAATGATAGAAGTTGGTGGCATTACTAATGGTAAGTACTGCTCACAATATTTCTCAAGTGAGAAGTTCACAAGTTCTCCACAGTTACATACCCTCGTACGAAGTGGGAAACTTCGTCCTATTAGAATAAGCAGTATATTGAAAGATCATTGTTCCTTGTTGGCTGTGTATCACAGACCCTTAGAAGTAGGGAACAAAATCAACAGTCCTTTGATTGTAAGGGAAATGTCAATAGAACCATTTTCTTGAAAGGATTCTGACGATGGTGTATACTGTACTTCTTTNTCTTGTGTAAGAAAAATTTATTTCATTGTCTTGTAAACGTTACATTACAATCATCATCGGTAATCTCTCAAGACGACAGGTCCACAGTCTCTTCCAAAACAATTCCTACACTTAATGCGATCTAGAGCTTTCTCCTTCAAATGAGAATATCCTCTTCTGTCCCCAAGGTCATCCAGCATCATCGGGTCACTTCTATCCGCCC